AGAGCACGATGTCGTGCAGCAGCAAGGCATCCGCGTGCTGGCCCGTGTGCAATAGATGCTTGCGTCTCTCTTCCTCGCTCGTCAAATGAGCATTGCCGCAGCCGTCTATTGCGTCTAGTTCTCCAATCGAAACAAAGCACTGCACGAAGATGATGGTATCATAAAAATTTGATGGAGAAACAAAGAAAATAACAAAAAATTGGACCTATTAATGTATCTACTATAGTAAAGTGTAAACACACTCGTCTTTGTGTCTTCGTTGCTTAAGATGTCAGCAGTTACAATACATTTTTGCATAATTCTTTCTTTAACAAAAAGCCCTACACTTACGTCACGCTTTAAGCTATACATTTTTACGCTATTAAACTTGGGGGGGTAAATAAATTGGATAAAAACCCCAATGTGGGAAGAAGACCATATGCTGCTGTCAACATCAAGAAAGCAAGATTGCCATAGTAAGGTAATTGGTATTTTGATATTTGCAATTGAGCATTTGATAAATATAATATCATGCGGATGAAGCCGCACGGGAACGGGAACTCGTAGGTTATAAAACGAAAGTATCATACGTTCCGGAGTATCCTGTGCACGTGTTCGCCGGCGGGCAGGCGGGCGGCGGCGCGGGGCGAGGCGGGCGGCACGTCGTCGTTGTGCGCGGCCGCCCACAGCTCCGCGTAGTACAGCGCCGCCAAGTGCCGCTCCGCCAGCGCCGCCGCCCGCGACACCTTCTCGTACTCCAGCTTCATGTGTCGCAGCGCGCCTGCTACTCGCCACTTACAACTAACGATAAACAATCACTTAAACCACACACAAAATAACAAATTCTCACATCATAGCTGTCAAATAGAATAAGTACAGATTAATAAAAAAGATGACAGCAGAAAGATGAGAACCACAAGAGATTGCTCTTAGCGATAAGGCCACCTTTGCCCAATTCTAGTAATAACTTAGTTTTCGCTTCCTGTTGTGTTATATGTTCAAAAGAATTAAATAAATACAGATAGAACAATGAATTTTTTTGTGGCTGAGTTTGTGACTATTTTCCTTGCATAAACAGCTTCACCGTGCTTGAGGTGGGCGAGTGCAGATGGCGCTTAGCCTAATAGTTTATGTGTAATGAAGGACGAGGGTTCTCACAGAGAATGCATAATAACAATACATACCGTATTTGAAGATGATTCGTCTGCAAGCGTATAGCGTTAACCACGTCCAATAAGTAGTCGACTATCATCTTCTGGTCATGATCGAGAATGTTCGATATCTTGGAGACGGTGCTGTTCTCACAGGCCGAAGTAGTCTCATTGAAACTTCTGCTCCAGATGTAATTGAAAACACTATTTATTTGTTGGCCGATAACTTGCATTAAATTCTCCGATGAGTGCTCCAGTAATAATCCCACCAGCGAAGGTAGGATTTTTGAACATATAGAAGGCTGTAAAATTCAATTAAATAATTTGTGACAACTTTTATTTAAATTTTAAAACAACATGCGATTCAAGTGACGCAAAAGAGTATTTACGTATATTATGAAAAAGAGTTAATGCAACTTAAAAGTGGACATTTAAGATAAATTTTAGAAGTGTTTTCTAATCTAATATTTAAATATATACCCAGTTACGGCTCAGCGACATAAGTACCAAAATATCCTATAATCGTTTTCAATAGTATAAATATTTGAAGTTAGGTACCTTTAGCATGCACAAACGGGGTAGAGAGCTGAGATAATTTGAAGGCGATTCTAACATCTGTAAGAGATCCACTGTGATCCGAGTTATCCATTGGACATGATTTTCGTTACTAGCAGGGACCCACTCTGTAGATACACTGCGAGTTTTAAACTGCGCGAACGATTCGCATGTTGATGGCGTAAGACATTTTAATATTTGACTCTCGACTATTCCCCATTCTGAAACAAAGGATTACTTTCAGATTAACAAAATATTCTTTGTATACACGGATATATTGTATTGGTTAATTTTTTTTATTTTAACAAATGGTGTCGATTTTTCTGAAGGTAGTTTCAAATTCGAATTCGAAATCGAACCTTACCTATTTTAATAATTTGTCCATCTTTAAATTTCATCAGATGTAACAATGCTTTGCATACTTGCTTACTCACTGTTGGGTTTTCGTTAAATATAATTTCCAATAATGCCTTAACAAGTGTTATCGCAAAATATTGTGTTGGTTTTACATTGACAAGCTGCGCCGTATCCTTCGGTGGTACTGTTACCAATGTTTTTAAATCATATGTCCCGACTTCCGCGAGACAATTACTCGCTTCCACGATCATCTAAGAAAGTAAATATTACAGTAGACAAAATTAATCTTACTATTATTATAAATGAGAAAGATGAGATGGGTGGATAGATGGATGGAGGGATGTTTGTTAGAGTTTATAGCCTTAACGGCTGAACGTATTTCGAAGAAATTTGGTAAAGATGTAGAAGATACTGGAAGAACACATAGGCTATTCACTTTTGTTTTTTCCAATACCACGCGGACGGAGTCGCAGGCGAAATCTTGTGTAAACATAATTGTTGTTTTTGTTAGTGTTAACCTTTTCGTCAGTCGATGTCCTTAAGATGTTACACAATGCTACTATGATTTTATGTATCACGCTATCTTCGCAATCTTCAGAAAATCCTTTATTATCGAGTTTATTCAAAATAACGCTTAAATATGTCTTGTGCGCGCTAAGAAATTTTTTCATACTAGATAGTGTTGCAGTGCTGAAAAATTAACCATGATGTTAATGTTAAGTGTAAATATTAATTGAATTTACCAAATGATTATTTATTTACCTCGCATATGATAAATTACGTTCATATTTTTGTAATTTGTCCAAGAAGTTTATTTCCGTAAAACATGCTTCTGTACCAACTTCTGTTAATACAGAAATTAAAGCTTGCATGTCATCGTCAATTTCTTTTAAATTTCTTACCACATAGTTGTAAACCTCATTGCATACTTCAGATTCATCTTTTTTAATTGTAAGTATCGACAATAATTGTGCAACTGTCTCCTTTTGAAGAACTTCATTTTTATTTAAAGAAACACGCGTCAAAATCCTTAAAAGGGCTTTAGAGAAAACATCCAATTCTTTTTTACTCTTTACCTCCTTAATAGCCCTGGCTGTATTGACGGAAGCAAAATTAAAAATAATCGCATCTGATGGAAATCCTAAAGGTATGTTCTCGATATAAATTATGAAAGTGTGTAATAACATGACCTTGAAAGAAAAGATCTTTTCAGATAGTACTAAATCCCATAACGTAAATAGAATATTCAACATGGCGAGTGGCTGATCTTTACAGAAACATTCCATTATATTATCATCAATTAGTTCCTAAAACAAAACAATTAAAAATGTATAAAAATACAAAAAAAAAAGTGACAATGGGAACTTTGACGTCACAGTGCCAAAGTGCTTTGCCGACCCGAACTTGACATAAGATCAATAGAATATCGCTTTTTCGCCTTCATTAAACGGTCATCATCTTCCTGCTTATCCTACTCCCGTAGGGTCGGCGAGATAGGTTTTAGTCCTCTATCATACATCATCTCAGTCTTCACTTTCGTGATCATGTCACCTTCCATGCAAACCATCCTCTCTATCTAGTACATAATAATACTTACACCAAAATACTTTAAAATTCCACAAAATATTTCTTTTGGATAACTGAATGATTCAACACTATTTGATACTTCAACATCAAAGGTTTGTTTAGCGTCAGTGTTGTCTTTCAAATGTAGAGCAGTGAGCAACACGAGCCGGTCCATGTTCTCAACAAACAGTTTGGACCATGTCTCACTTTGCAGCTTCTGTCTCATTTGCTGGAACATCCTGCTTGCCGCACTCGCTAACTCTTTGCAACTGAATTTGTTCACACCCAAACTATATTTTTCATTCACGATGTACGGCAAACTCAATATTATTATGTTACAGAAGCTTTCCTAAAAACATATGTTATTTATCAACAACTTACCTAATAATTAAAAACTGTAGTTCAAATTCATTATACATAAGAAGTTATATTTACACATTTCACTGGATAATAGTGGAAATTATTTTCTATGAATTTGGTAAGTGTTTAAATTGATATTAAATTTCTCTATATTTAAGAAGTCTGTGATCACAGCCTTATAAGTAAAATTGTTTAGATACGTTTGGTATAATTTCCAATAAATACTACCTAATTACCTCCAAAATTGATTCCTCAGATTGCATTTGTTTAAATTTTTTCATCATATCGCTTTTTTGTACAT